ATCACAATTGAATTTGCACCACAGACCCTGAGCCTTGTGTTCAAGAGCAAGCTTTGGCCCTTGTTCGGAATCTTGTTGATGGGTGTATAAAGTCCATTGAGTATGTGTTTGCTGAAGATGGTATTCTATTAGATGCTGTTGGAAGGCAATTACACAATGCTTCACACGAACTTGGAATACAGGTTAGAAGTCTTTTACACTCTCTCCTTAGATGTTGTTGGCAACTATTATTGTAACTTTTAAACTACTACATGGATGATGAGTATCCATGTAACATCCTTAAATTATAATGTCAAGCAATTTCACATATTTCTTTACGAATATTAAGTATTAAATAATATGTTTAAAATTATGGAATTTATTTATTTTTTTTGAAAATTTCGGCAAAGTTACCTCTACTTTTTGTTGATACCAAGTTATCGACAACACTTCTATCATATGTCATTACAACTTCCATCTTGATCCAATCATCCTAGATCACATCCCATTCATCAATCAATCATTCAATGCTTCTACTTATTAATATATTCAAGTCTCATAATATCAATTAATAAGTCAACATAAAATAATTACTAAAGCAAATTAAAAAATAAACAATTTCATCACTAAAGAGTAATAAATGTTAACTAACTACATATATGCATTTAGACTAAATGGATACAATATTAAAATTAAGAGTCATATTGTTTTAAAACATCTAATGTATTCTACTACTTTATATTATAATTCTGAAAATAATTTAGCCATACTAAAATCTATACATATATATAATGCATCCATTAGATACTACACATCTTTTATTTGATTTATACAACACAAAGGTTTTTAAAGAAAATAAAAACATAAATATTACATTCCAAAATGATAATTCACGTGGATGGGCTGACCCAACCTGAATACCAGATAACCCGACCCACGTGATTGACCCGGATATAGATGATGTTAGCATGAAGTAATTATGACGGTAGCATACACAGTTGGCATCCATGTCAGCACCTAGTCAGCTGAACACGTCAGCATTGTGGGACCCACCTGCCACATCATCAAACGCGAACCGGGCTAAGTTGGAGCCAAGCCGAGAGTCAAGGGATAGGATACAGTGTAGCGGATTCTATGTGCAACCGAATCTGAGATTGAATCTGGATCATTCATCTGGTTAGAATTGTTTTGATCAAATCTTAGTCGTTTGAAATGCGATTTGAATGATTTCAGTCTTGTTTCCAGCTAAGTTGATCGTTCCAGATGCAATGGTATGGTTCAATCGTTAATATATGGATCGAAAGTGGTGGTAGTGAATTATTAGGAGAGATTGCCTGATTAGGAGGCATCTAAATGTCATCATGGTGGTCGTGGAGATGAAAACGAAGAAAGTGCACATATTTACCGAATTACATATGCTGAATTGCTAAGTGGGGAAATTTTAATTGCCTTGAGGGAAGGCAAAATTGAGACACTCTAGACACCCGATCATGTGGACAATTTGAGGTAGAGAGGCAAAATTGATGAAGACCAATCTTGACGAATCTAAACATTGGTAGTCTCACCAGATGTTCAGAAATCAAGTATAAAACCAAGATATTTTAGATCACTTGTAAATGAAAGCCGCAACAAAGTTAGCAAATGGTTGTATATACGGAAAGACAGTATGGTGGATAGATATGGCCTAAGAAGTTCTAGCTAGGAGATTGGGTTTTAAGCGAGACCAGTGTAACCCCTCCAATCTTAAGTCCAAGATCAGACCATCTCATGACGACATGTAGAGACACCTCAAACAGAAGGTATGAGGATCAGGATATGAGTCCAAGATCAGACCGTCTCATGATGACAGATAAAGACACCTTAGGAGAAGGTGTGAGGGCCAAATAGGAGCCTAAGTTCAGAAAGCCTTAGAGCTGATGTGATGGCTAGATATAAGTGGACAAGTGTATAGCCAATGAAGAGGCTATGATGAGAATAGAGACAAATGCAGAATTGACTTTCATGGATATTGTCCACATGTTAAAGATCAATGATCCAGATAACATTTGTCTTGGACAATAAGTGGATGACTTATGGAGCATTAAAACACTACTACTAGGAATGAGCAGAGGGCATGCACAAGTTCCAGGAACAAGTTGACTCTTGTCAAGGTGGTGAGCTTAATAATGACATTGCAACACTCAGAGTATAAAGATAGATATAGTTTAACTTTTAATAGGTTGCCCCCATGGTTAAAGGTGGAGAGCTACCTAAACTCTTAAGACTAAGAGCGGGAGACTCATGGAGAAGTAAAGCGTTGTTCCTAAGATGGAACAGAGGGCAAATGCAACTCCGAGATGAGTAAACTCTTGGAAGAGTGGTGAGCTCGTGATCAAATTAAAATACTCAATGACTGTCGCATTGGGAATATCCGTTTGAAGGAGTGTTGTAAGCCTTGGTGTAAGGCTTGATAAATCATTCTGGGCCAAGCATGATTGATATGCTTGAAGGGGAATGTTGTTTCAGAGACAAGTGTTAACACTCTTCTGATGAGATATGGTAAATCATATGGTTGAAGTGATCCTTTGGAGTGAGCAAAAGGGTGCTTGGGTGACTCTAGTGATTGAAAGGTGTTGCGAGTACCTTGGAACTTGGCTAAAGATGCTCTTGGAATGGTAAGCTTAGAAGAGTTGCAGAATGCAAGCATATGCTAGAGAAGTAAGAGGGCAATTGTCTATATAAATGGTAAAGGGGTTATTGTTGGGATGTTGCCATTAATAGACAACAACATTTGCAGTCTACCCTAAAAAGGAGGGATGTCATTGTCAAAAGACTACAATGGTAGGTGGGTAAATTATCAAACAAGTTATACCAACCATTGAAAAAATAGTGCAACTCATGTGCTGCCACCATTAGTTTCATCATTTATGGTCAAATTGTCTTACCATTCATGTCTATAAATAGAGACACAGGTTAGAGAGCAAAATGAGAGTGTGTGTGGAGCCAAAGATGTAAGAAATAAAGGAGAGAGTGGGCTGCCAAAGGTAGCAAGCAGTGGCTGTCATTGCAGCACTGTAAAGAGAGAAAAGAGTGAGGTTGAGAGTTGCAAAGAGTGGATAATTCCTTCTCCTTTATTGTTGTAAATCTTGTTGTTTTCCTATATAATCAAATGGCTTTTCCCGTGGATGTAAGTGATTTGCCGAACCATGTTAAATATTGTGTCAGTGTACTTAGTTTCCAATGGGTAACTATTAGAAGATCACTGATCAGAATTCCCAGCAATTCTTGCATGTACATCCACCACATCTATTATTATGTGTTCTTACATTCATTATTATATGTATTCATTTCAAAAGGTTTCTTCTTCGTTTGTTTCTTTTTCAAATGTCATCACTGTTTCTGATTTATCAAAAATAAAACTGTAACTTGATGTTCACTTGAGATTGTCACCACGGCATCAGATTTATCAGAAAAGAAAACAGTAACTTGATGTTAAATTGAGGTGCTCTTTCCATATCCTTAGCATTGATCATGAAAAGAAACTTCTCGCAGGGCTGTCACATATTAAAACTTTTGATATTCTTGCTCGCTTCGCTAATCATCATAGTTGTTTCATATTTTAAGGCACATTAATGATTTTCCATTGAAGGTAGAGGCTGGCAAGCTTGAAGATTGCAAGTTCCATATTGAAAGTTTAGACATGCATAGTTAGAAATTAAACAATACAAGCTACTGTATTGTTGATGGATAATGAACATACAGGAGCACAAACAACTTGCATTCTACATGGAATTTGTTGTTTATAAGAAAGTCTTGACATCATTGATAAAAACAAACATGGCCGCATGAAGATATACCTTTCCTAATATTAGCAAGAAATCTCAGAGAGACCATGGTGCATTAGTTATTAAACATAAGGAGGTTAATTATCTTGCTGTGTGATGGTTGGTGGTCTTTTATGGTCAGCGGGTATTAATCTGTGAACTCTGGGGTGAGGGCAAATCCCAGCTCTATCATCCAGATGAACTTTTGCATTTCCATGTGAAGATTGTTGCATTTCCATGTGAAGATTGTTGCATTTCCATGTGAAGATTGTTGATATGCAAGTAAAAACGTCGTTTATCAAGTAAGCTCAGTAAAATGTCGGCTGGGGAAAAAAGACTGGTTTATATTAACAAAACATTTCTGACATGTGCCTACAACTATATGCTGGATGATTTAATTTGGTTTCTATGTTTATTCTGTCTATTTTTTGAATGATGAAGAGCATTGGGAAAGGTAACATATTGTGCAACTATTGTTTCTGCCAATCATGATTGAAACCATGCAAGAAAAAAGTGGGTCTCGGGGGAATTTACAGTACAATGCTGTTTATAGATTGCTAATAGATAATTAAAATTCTTATCATGCAGGGAATTTATCTTCTTGGCAACGTGGAAATGATTTTCACAAGGAAATAGTTATGCAGCAACTTCTTGTCCGAGCAGATAATTGAGCCCAATCTTTCATGATCAAGATCTTGCAGTGTAGTGATAGCAGGTTACGTACAGCTGCTGTCTGGATGATAGTGAATCTCACATTCCCTTGTCCTAGTGCATTTGGTCGGCTAGTACACCTTAGTTTGGAACACCCTTTTACTCGTTTTAACTGTTTTACTAATGTTCCAGTACTATATTTTTTGCAGCTTTGTGTAACAACAGTGATGACTCAGTCTATGACTTTTGGTGATGGCCTCACATGATCATCCGTATGTATCCCTTGAATCTAGCACAAAGAGGAGAGATAAATGCAGAACAATCTTTGGTCTTGACCTTATTTTGTAAGATATGTCCAGCATTTCTCTGGAAGCTTGAAACATTATGCTGCAGTGAAGGTTGGTGCTCATTTAAATTTTGACTGGGTTGTGATGGTATATTTAATTGGCAAATTTCTCTCCTTTTCGATGGATTGTCATTGGACAAAATCTTTTATTTGTTTAAAATAGTTAATTTATTTTCCTTGGCACACAAGTAGCTCTGCTATAAAATTTACTTCGAGCAAATTGGTTGGACCGGTGTCAATTACTCGATTAATATAGCATCATGTTGGCATGGATATACGCTCTTTATTCTCTACCTTTTCATTTAGTAGGTGAAGATGCTGGCATTAACCATAAACTATTTTGCTACATATTAGTCAATTTCCCTTCGAGTTTTAAATTGGAGATGGTGATTGCTAGTTACCTGAGCCATATTTCCTCCTTCTGTTCAATTCTTTCTTTTGCAGGTATCACATTACATTGCTTTCAGTTTCCCAGTTAGAGAGCAGTGTGGTTCTCGATTTGTGGGGGCAGAGATCCCTTTCCGTGATGCATTAATTTTTGTATGTAATCGATGATCCTTGTTGTAGCACATGGTATCAACTTGTAAATTAAACCACGACATCCATACATACATATCTTTTCCTAAATTAAGGATATATGCTTGTTCCTCGACTCTTCTTCTGAAACATAATGACTTACTCTGTAAGTCCCTAAAAATTCATGTTTCGAAACCATGTCATGGAGTATGGTACGCGAAAACCCTTCAATTAATTTAAATCCTTCTTTTTTATGCTATCTAGACTGATGAGTAATGTCTATATACAATATATTTATCATGTCTTGTTAACAGGAGAAAAATAATAGTATCAAGAAGACAATCTTTGGAACCAAACGGGTTGATATCGAACCCAAGATAAACCTGCACTAAAAACACGACAGCAGACAGAAAGAGAAAACGAAGATAAATCTGCATCCCTTCAGCCAATCTTCTCTGTGTTTGTGTCATCTGATGGCCATATCACAGTCTCTTTGAGCCGTTCACGCATCAACTCCAAGTTATCATCAGAGATTTCTTTATATATCTCAGCATGATCACATTTCTACATCACAATAACAAGAAAATACCTTTTACATATTTATGTGCTCAATTTACATGTCAAAGCAAAAGCGGCAGTCAATTACCTTAATCCATTTCCCATACAAGTGAAGTCGTGTGACCATCACTCTTTCTGCAAGGTCCTGCTTCTCCTGTCAGTAAAAAGGATGAATCCATTCAAATGTTGTTACTCTTACAATTCTATCCTCTATTTACCTGTCTTTGCTAAAATACATTATTCGTTCTAATGACCATGTGAAAACTACACTTGTTTGCTGAGAAAAATTGAGCGAAAAAAGCATATATATCTTGCATCTTGTGCCCTAAAAGGATGTCATAAGGCAAGCGATCAATTAAGCTAGTTGAGGGGAAATCCGCGTAGCGTCAAAATCTGGGGAAACTATTGAAGCAGTTTCATGGTAATCAAGTTCCACGTAAAGGCTTACAAAAAGACTACCTTCCCGAGAGCGCGAAGGAAACGCTTGCCATCTCCTGGCTTATTATGCGCAACAAAACTGCCAAAATATAGAAATAAGCACACTCAATAGGAAAAAAGGAATAGAACAATCAATAATCAAAATTGAAAGATAGTCCAGCATGCACTCGATGAAAATGTTGAAGTTATTATAAAAAAATTATCTTAACTCAATAATTTAAACTGTTAGATATTTTTTTCTAATACACTTAAAATTTATATATATTTGTATTATCTTGTGTTTAATTTCTATCAAATAAATAAAAATGATAAGATTCAAACTCGTGACCACTTAGTCATTAAAACTCTGATATTATATCACATCTCAACCTAATAATTTAAGTCAGTTTAATAATTTAAGTTGTTAGACAAGATTTTAAAATATAATTTATTATTCTTTAATAGTTATAATGTTTTCATGTCAACAGACAACCTGCATCTACAGTTAGGATATCTAGAAGTTCTTGTCATTTATTCCAAAATTACCAGTGTTATAAATCTGTATGTCTCTTGTGTATTACTTTCGGTGTTTACGTTTTCATGGATGAGAAACATGGGTGCGGGTGCTGCCTTTTTGACGTGAGATTCTCAACTTGCAGAGCTTAAAGCTATTTAAATCGCATCCATTCCATTTAAAAATAACCAAATGTGCGAAAAGGTGTTTGGTTGGAAAAATAAA